ACTAGCAGTCACGTAATGAAACCAGTTCTGTACTAATTAATCTGTACTAATTACTTGTCAGTCCATGGCTTCACAAAATGTAGTACCCTTTATAAAAATATGAACAAACCACTATCAATAAATCATTTGTAGCTATTACTAAACATAATGATGAAACATATGCAACACATTAAAAACAATTGGTAGGACAGTCGTAGACTTACCACTGGATCAATTTTACTTTACCTTTAGGGAACGACCTTGGGCGGTTTCTTAGGTTTTGGTGCAGATGACATGGAACATCCTGAAGAAGACGTGGAGGATTGTGCAGCAGGAGCAGAGAGCTTTGGTATGTGCCTAAAGCTTCGAAGAAAGGCATATTTGTATAAACATAATACGCTGCAAAACCTTTGTCGACCTTACAAGCACCTAACTGCTCCAGCACCAGTAGTTTGAGATTAAAAAAAAAAAAAAAAACACAGGTCCATTGTAACCATAGATTTTTTTTTATTACACAATAAAAACGACCTCTCTTACTGTACATTTTGCAAAATAATTAACTAAAACAGTACAAATGTTGAGCAAAACTTCTCTTCAACTCTTACATTTACTACCTCATCTAGATCTGACAAAACTGTTGATATTTTACCTCCCTGCAAACCATGACACATCTTTATGATTTTCTTCACCACACTTACGGCGGTGGTCGTCAACTGGATTATCAGTAACGGCAGTGATCGTCAATCAGCGGCACATGGGCCGAGTCCGGCCCACCGAACAGTCCCGTCTGGACCACGACCAGCTTCCTGATCCCCTCCACACACTACACGCCAATGTCATGATAGCTTCATCTTACATTACAAAAAGACATTTAAAAATACATACACTAATACAGCATCATGCCATTGGTTTTCAGCCTTTTGCCAAGAGTCTAGAGTTGTCACACCAATTAAACTTGAACGGCAGAGCGATGATCGGCACACATCGCTGTGAGACAGTGGAAAGTGTGGTCAGGGGGCGTGCTATAATCCTTATATTAACCAAAATTTGCACTTTGCATAGTTTGTTGTTGTACATCGAAATATTTTTATATTTTTGTTATTAAGAATTACATGATTTCTCATTCACTGATTATGTGGTGCCTCCTCACTGCCATTCTTTCCTACCACAATCCTCCCCTTCAAAGCCCCACACCACACCAGATCGCTGACTTTGTCCTGGTGTCCCTTTGACCCCAGAATCTGATCTATAATACCTGTTTCTTTTCGCTCAGGGTCACTTGTTTTTGTCTAGCCTTCTTCACAGTACTTCTGTTTCTGTTTCTCCTGTCCCTCACCGCCGCTCTGAACACGGCCTGTTTTGACTGCACGCTACAATGGTTTCTGAGTTGCTGTTTTAACCTGACTTTATTAATAATCCGTTGAACGTTTTTCGGTGTCTGAATTTCTTTTGGCCTGTAATTACTGACTCTGACACCAGACAAAAACATACTAATGCTTTATCCAGGTGGGATTTTGTTTTACCTAACCACACTTACAAATGCATGGGATCAGTGTCATTCCCTTCTTTCTGACTGTTGTTAAAAATCCTTCTACGTTGATGTGCACATCTGTAGACATGCATACATATAAAAACCTACAGTTTACTCAGCTCACATATATCTGTGGTTTGCAGAAATGAAAACAGCGACATACGACCCTGACAGCTGAGTCGAGACTGCTCTATTAAAAATGAAATATATAGGAACATAAATTAGTTACGGCCTCCGACGGCGGTAAAAAATACAACTCATCCCTCATTGTACTGTCTTATCAAATGGAATTGGGAAACAGTGCAACGCTACGGCTTTTTATGAAGTCTGACACGCAGATTTTTTTTATGCCATTCTCTAAAAAGACATGCCTCACACTTTAGTTTCTAAATAACATCCCTCTACAGCTGTGGTTCCCAACCCCCGGGCCACAGACCGGCAGCGGTCCGCAGGTTCCATTATTTCCGTTTTACTTTTTATCTGATTCTGAACAATGTTTCATTTTGAAAATTTTTTCTCAAACTTGAGACATGTGAAGATGCTCGCCTCGGTCACAACAAACGTCTTTGGGAAGTTTCTTAGCGCAGGGTAAAAGAGCCAGTGAGAACGCAGAAGAAAAGTCGATGAAGTCAATGAGGCCATGAAGCCTTCAAAACTGGCGTTCTGCATCGAAAGACTAGCGCCATGTTACGAGGACGCTGCTAATAAAGTGGCTAAACGTTTATTATTGTATTTAGGAAATACCAGTTTTTATTGGCCGTCGTATCATTTAACCAATCCGTGGCACTAAAAAGCTTGAGGACCGCTGGTCTACAGTAGCTCAACAGCACATTAAACTCAAGTGGAATCTGTTTTACGCAACTAAAATGGGTACATCAGAGCACAACCACCATCTATAAAATACAAAACAACAAAGTGGATTAAGCTGCGCGTGTTCGTCGACACGCTGGCTCTTCTCTGGTGTGTTACAGTTCTATAAGACAGTCTGTGCCGGGGTAGACTGCTCTATTAAAAATGAAATATATAGGAACATAAATTAGTTACGGCCTCCGACGGCGGTAAAAAATACAACTCATCCCTCATTGTACTGTCTTATCAAATGGAATTGGGAAACAGTGCAACGCTACGGCTTTTTATGAAGTCTGACACGCAGATTTTTTTTATGCCATTCTCTAAAAAGACATGACTCACACTTTAGTTTCTAAATAACATCCCTCTACAGCTGTGGTTCCCAACCCCCGGGCCACAGACCGGCAGCGGTCCGCAGGTTCCATTATTTCCGTTTTACTTTTTATCTGATTCTGAACAATGTTTCATTTTGAAAATTTTTTCTCAAACTTGAGACATGTGAAGATGCTCGCCTCGGTCACAACAAACGTCTTTGGGAAGTTTCTTAGCGCAGGGTAAAAGAGCCAGTGAGAACGCAGAAGAAAAGTCGATGAAGTCAATGAGGCCATGAAGCCTTCAAAACTGGCGTTCTGCATCGAAAGACTAGCGCCATGTTACGAGGACGCTGCTAATAAAGTGGCTAAACGTTTATTATTGTATTTAGGAAATACCAGTTTTTATTGGCCGTCGTATCATTTAACCAATCCGTGGCACTAAAAAGCTTGAGGACCGCTGGTCTACAGTAGCTCAACAGCACATTAAACTCAAGTGGAATCTGTTTTACGCAACTAAAATGGGTACATCAGAGCACAACCACCATCTATAAAATACAAAACAACAAAGTGGATTAAGCTGCGCGTGTTCGTCGACACGCTGGCTCTTCTCTGGTGTGTTACAGTTCTATAAGACAGTCTGTGCCGGGGTAGTCCGGTAGGTTCAGCTCGTATTTTTTCTGGATGTCATAAGGCAGAAAGCGCCCGGCCAAGAAGTGCTTGCCAGAGAAACTCATGGAGCACTTCTTCGGTGCTATGAGCGAGATGAGAACTTCGGGGTGTATCCCGTCCTGACTCGGCTCTTCTACATCCCAACCTGAGGAAAACACACGCAGGTACATGACGTGTGGGATCGTGTTCATGTTCTCACTTTTCATGCTTCTGGGTACGACCACCCGAGTGCAGCGTTACATTTATCCTCCCCGTGCGCCTCCAAACTTCTGTCTGGACATCGGTGCTGCTGGGCGGCTGCCTGGAGGCTCATTTCTCATGTGTTTCATGTCTGATACATTGTTTTTGGTGAAAAGTAAATCCACCTGATGGAACATCCACACTGGCAATGGGAATCTTGACCTGCTTCAAGGTGCACAGAATACCACAATACGGCTCCTTAACATTAGTGGGGTCAGACTCTGCGCCCAGCATAGCATCGATCACTAGGTTGTAGGCATCGTTGATGAGCTGCACCTAACAAC